CCCCACAACAGAACTATCACCATTCCTGGATCTTGTTGACACTGGATTTTAGGAACCCAGCCCGTATACCTTTGTTCCAGGTGGGCACAACCTTCAGACCAACCACAACACCTGCCAGTTGATAATAGGCAAGTTTAGTGATACAGGGTGATAACACAAAAAGCAACAATACAAACAATCAAGCATTTCTATATCTGCCAATCCTAGGGCTGTCATCAGAGTCAGAGCACATCTGGTCAAGATTCAGGCTCCACTCTGAGGCTCTTTCTTTTAGGTGTCAGCAGTCTGGTGGTGGGATGCCGAGGCCCACAGCCCCCCTCGTGGGGTGGATGAGATGGGCTGCTGGTGTGTGCCCTTTGTCCATGGTGGCCTTGGGGACCCTTCCTGGGGGATGGGGACAGGGCCTCCTCTCAGGGAGCAAAACAGGGAGATATAGGGAGGGGCCCTTTGTTAATCTCAATTCTCTGCTTTTGTATTCTTCTTCCCCTTTAGACTCCTGATGGCTCTTCATCCGTGGCTCTCCCTCTGTGGTCACATGTCCACATAGCCTTCTGGGCCTTCTAATTTGGTCTGTTCCCCCTAAACTGGGACTTAGGCCCTTCTGCTCTCTGAGGCCTTGTTGCTAGTGTCACTAATCTTGTGTTATGGGACAGTATGATACATAATTCTTTTGGTTCCCAGGCTGTATCCTTGTTGTGTTAGACAACCTGTCTGCCTTGAAGGCTGTGATCTCATGTTATGGCATGCTCCCCTCAATTCTCAGGCTGTATTCATTTGTTGGCCTTGTTGTGCTAGACAGCCCATCTGTTTTCAGGGTCATGAGAAGCTGTGTGCGTGTCTCCCAAGCACTTCTGAAATCCATTTAACCTCTGCTGCCCACCTTGAACCCTTATAATGCATATATCTATACTTATAAGCCAATTCCCAAAAACAGGCCTTTAAATATCATTGCTAAGCCAACTGTTCTTACAGCTGCACCTCCAGAAATGTTCTGTATCTCATCTAGTGCACCAAATGCCCTGATGGAAAGTATGTAGGAGAGACCAAACAATAACTGTGAAGCAGAATGAATGCACACCGGACATCTATTAAAGATAACACCCAATTATCAGTCGGGGCACATTTCTCACAAGAAAACCACTCCGTCTCTGACCTCTCAGACCCGATCCTCAAAGGGAATTTACAAAACACTTTTCACAGACAAGCCTATGAACTTCACTTCATCAACCTCATCAACACAAAAACTCATGGACTCAATATAGACACTGGATTTCTGACACACTGTAACCTGCCTGACATCTGACTCCCCAGGTACCTCTCCACTTTTACCTGCTAAACCCCCCTTCTTCCCTCCCTCTCAGCCTTTCTCCCCCTGATGCCTCAATTTACATTTTCACTGACTAGCTTTCTTGCATGCTTTGGCTTCTTTACTATTCATTCCATCCAGGAAGAGTGCGCACACCAACTGCAGATGCTTCTTTAGCCTGGTGAAGGGTTTTAAACCCAAAAGCTTGCCAAGGTACATTTCTCCAACTATTCAGCTGGTCTAATAAAAGATATCACTTTGACCCAAAGAACCTTGTCTGTCTTGTGTGTGTTAAGGCAGAGTGGGATGAATGCAGCAGGGATGGCAGCCTGTAACAGAGGGCCTTCCTGGTGCCGATTAGATCTTGGCCCACCCACTTGTTTTTGGGCCAACCACCTGCCTCTCTTTGGCCTCTCATGCCTTATTGGAAAACTCATTCAGATGTTACCCAGGCAGGAGGCTGCTCGTTTAGGTCCCTGATGTCTAGGGGTGATATCCATTCCATAGCTCCATACCTTCCCTACACTGAAGCCTATGTCTCACAGATGGCATCCTTCACCTCCTCCAGCTGTGGTCCTCTCTTTAGGACCTTTACCCATGTGTAATATATGTAATATACATTGTGCTTTCCTGCACAGTGATGACACGCTGACAGGAAAAACACAGAATTCATTTTTGTTTTTTGTTTTTGTTGTGTTTTTTTTTGGGGGGGGAGGAGGTAGGGGAGACAGGTTAAGAACAAATAGGAGGATACTGGGGGAAGAATAAGCTGGAAGGAATGAATAATATTTCCTACGGTTTGTAGGCAAGGGTAAACAGGAAAGGATTGGACAGAACTTGGTGGCAGGAGACTACCTACTACCAAGCCAGAGCCCTTCAGATGATGCTGCTGCTGCAACAGAGACAGACAGCTCAACAAAAGGCACACAGATGAGTTCACACACAGCCTTATATGTTGTTTCTACATCCCTCCCCCAGAGCACTGTGATTGGAAAGGAACTCAAGGAAAGATCACAGTCACTGGCCAGTTACAGATGTCAATATCAGAGCAGTCTTCCCCCCCCACTCCACCTCCCCACTTTTCTCAGTTTCTGTTCCCTGCACATCTGCCTTCCGAATCAATGAATCTTATCCAAATCAATTTGGAGGCTTTGATTCAATTCAGAGCTTTTAATGGGTCTCTCAATTCAATCTGGATTCAGAGATTTGGCTGCCGAATTTCCTCCGAATTGAATTGGCTACCAAAGCTTTGCACAGCCCTACTTACAACCCTTTAACTGGCCCAGGATTTGGTCAACACTGCTGATGAAAATCAGAGGGAACAGATTAGATTCTATATTACGAGACTGAAATAATGTCAATAGCATTAAAAAAAATAAGGAAAAACAGCAGAACATATTATACCTCAGCAGAATTATGTTTAAGAAGAGCAATGTTCAAAACTAGGCAGAAGCTTGAAGAGAAGCAGTGTTTAGATGCTCATTTAACATCTTGATCTTTGCTCACAACAGTGTTGCTGTATTTACAGAATTTTAGGGCTATATCAGATCTACAGCCCCATCTCAAGAAGTTTGTACTGTAAGATCTAAATTTTGCATAAGGATCTAGTAGTGAAGATTATGTAGACTTCAATTTGGAGCCAATCATGAAAATATACAAGTGTCAGCTGTCCCCTTAATTGCAACTGGACTTCACATACTAGTAAATGTAAACAGGTATGAATTTGCATGATCAGAGCACTAGTTCTATACAAGTTCACCTCACTAGATATATAAGATATATTCCTGATATACAAGTATAGCAATGTACAATAAAGGTGCTTGTGGGTGAGGTTGGAATGCAAGACCAAAAAAAAAAAAAAACACACCGAGAACTAGAATTACAAAAGAAATGTTTTTATATGTGCATGTCTTGTAGCTACTTCCTTCCAGTTGCTTTTTATGTTTATAGATTGAGAGAGCAGAGCCAGTGAAGAGTACAGGTGTAACAGAATGAAAGTAGGAGAGAGACAATGTAGGGAACTCAAATGATTTCCACCATTTGGCTAGCTAATAGAGCATGTGTTGAGGCAATATCCTACCATAACTTACTTGTACAGGCATGTTACAGATCCTGGCTTTGCTTCCAATCAAGGGATGACTAACTCATTGTAGCTCAGTAGATGGTAAGAGCTCATGCATTTTGTTTTGTGAGCTTCAGCACACAAAAGCTTGTACTATCTAGCTATTACACTCTAGTTAGTCTTATAAGGTACAAACCTGCTCTGCTTTCTACTCAACACCAGTGGGCTGTCAGCCAGGTTAAATCAGGGGTTGTCAAGATACCCCTGGGGGTACTTGGACCGGTCCTAGGGGGTACACGCAGGCAGGCGGGGACAGAGGGCTGCCACCTCCCAGGAGCAGGGCTGGAGCAGGGTGAGGCTGGTGGCACCTGCTGCAGAGTGGAGAAGCTTGCACATGGTGGCTGCTGCCACCACATCAGCCCAGTGAGATTCCCCACCCCACAGAGGTGAGGGATATATTTTAGGGATATATATTTTAGGGACAAAGGGGCGCTGCTACCCTCACCCCAGCTCTGGTCCTGCTCCTGGGAGGCAACAACGCTTCATCCCCACCTCCCTGCTCCATGTTCAACCATGCCCTTCCTGCTTGGCATCTGGCTGTCAGGGGTACTCGGATTTAAAAAGGTTGAAAACCCCTGGGTTAAATCATAGAATCGGAGAGGAACAGGGCTGAAAGGGATCTCTGGGGTGGCCAACAGCGATTGCAGACAGCCTGTAGACACCGTTGGCAGTGTCAGTGGCGACTGCCCACAGGTGCTGCCAACAGGGTGGGGAGCACCTTTTCGCAGGGGTGCACCCGCTACGCCTCGCCAATGCCCTGTAGTTTACCACAACCATCACTTAGCCGTAACCCAGCACCCTCAAAGCCCAGCCCACACTGCAGCCAACCCGGCTTCAACCCCAGTGTCTAAATACTTCATGTCTGCGCGACAGCGATGCCCGCAGAGCAAGCACGTTCAGGAAGCAGGTGTTTTTCCTGAAGGCCACACGGGCTGCAGTACTCGAGAGCCCAGACAGCCCCTGACCCCATCCCCATAGCAGAGCCGCCTTACGGGAGCGCTCCCCGCGCAGGTTTCAGGGCCCGGCCCCGCAGTGAGGTGGCCGCCCTGCACCGGGGAGGCCGGGAGTGAGCCCACACAGGTCCCGCCTCCTCCTCCGCCGGGTGCTGCCATCGCAGTGGGGCCGGGCCGGGTCGGGTCTGTGAGGGGGCGCGTCCCGCGCTGACGGAGGCCTGGGCCCGGCGACGCCACCTTCGTCCCCCCCACTCTGCGCGCTCCGCCGCCCTCGAGCGAGACCCCTCCGCGCAGTGCGGCCGAGCCCGAGGCTCCCCCGCCGCCCGGCTCCGCCGCCCTCCCCGGGGGAGGCCGAGAGATGACGTCACCGGATCAGGCCGACCGGCAATGGGCGCCATTTTGAAACCCCGAAACCTCTGGCGGCTGCAGCGGAGTGCGGCGGCGGCGG